AGGGCTTCCGGTTTGCGTGGCTATGACCACTGAACCGACGGTCTTTACTCGCGTAGACCAAATACTGGATCTTGGAATTTCGGTCCGCGAGGACCTTAAGCTCAGTGATCAATACCTGGCCGCCGCACAAAAAGCGAAAAGGCAATTGTTCCAGCTTAAGGCGGCCTTATCGTCAAGGAAGTCTGAGGTTTTCCTATCTCTTTATGAGGCCACAGTTAGACAGCAGTTATAATACTGCGTGCAGGCTTGGGCGCCTTACGTGAAGAAGGATATTATTGTCATTGAGAGGGTTCAACGGTTAGCTACTAGGATGATCGCGGGGATGAGGGGTAAGTCATGTAAGATGTTAGAATCCCCAGGGCTTTTCTTCATGAAGAGGAGACGCCTGAGAGGCTACATTATTGAGACCTTCAAAATAATGAAGGGGCTGACCAGCTAGATGGGGACAACCTGTTTACCCGAGCACAACTTGATCCAACAAGGGGGCATTATCTGAAGCTAGTGAAGCCCAGGAGCCGACTCAACCTTAAACACAACTTTTTCACAAGTAGAGTGATAGATGAGTGGAACCAATTATCACTGATCCAGCTTCAAAGCTGGATCTGCGGAACACAACCTAATTTGGTACATCATTTTATAGGTATTGTAACCCATCTTTCCTTAATTTATATATATCTGATTGCGCTTTCATCCGACTCGATTGGATCAACTCCGTGACATATGTTAAGTAGGTAGCAGTGCCCACTTTCTCAACCAATTTCATATCAGTACACGGTTCCAGCTTCGAAGCTGGAACTGTGAAACAACCTACTTTGGTATATACTTTTATAGGTATTGTGACCCATTATTCCTTACCTCTTATCCATCCGCTCCGGTCTTCCTCTGACTCAATTGGGCTCCCCTCTGTAGCACATGCTAACCAGGTAGCTCAGTCTACTCTATCAACTGATGTTCCACCATTACGCGTATCCAACCCCATTTCGGATCTGTAGCGCAAGAGATATTTTGACAAC